ACAGCCACACACACACAGGCAGACAGCCACACACACACCCACACACAGACAGACACACACATGCACACAGGCAGACAGCCACACACAAACACACACAGAGTCAGATGGCCACACACACAAACACACACACACACACACACAGAGTCAGACAACCATAGACACACAGGAAGACATCCACACACACAGAGACAGGCAGTTACACACACAGGCAGACAGCCAAACAAACACACACATGCAGATAGTCACACACACACACACACAGGCAGACAGTCACGCACACACAGGCAGACAGTCACGCACACACACACACACACACACACACACAAACACAGGCAGACAGTCATACATACACACAGGCAGACAGTCACACACAGACACAGGCAGACAGTCATACACACAGACACACACACACACACACACAGGCAGTCATGCACACACAAAGACACACACAGGCAGATAGTCACACACACACACACACACACACACACACACACAGACACACACACACACACACACACACACAGTCATACACACACACAGGCAGTCATACACATACACTACACACACACACAGGCAGACAGTCATACACACAGACAGGCAGTCATACACACACACAGGCAGACAGTCATACACACAAACACACACACACACAGGCAGTCATACACACACAGGCAGACAGTCATACACAGAGACACAAACACACAGACAGGCAGTCATACACACACACAGGCAGACAGTCATACACACAGACATACACACAGAGGCAGTCATGCACACACACAGACACACACACAGGCAGACAGTCATACATACACACAGGCAGACAGTCACACACACACAGACACAGGCAGACAGTCATACACACAGACACATACACACAGACACACACACACACACACACACAGGCAGTCATGCACACACAAAGACACCCACAGGCAGACAGTCACACACACACACACACACACACAGGCAGACAGTCATACACACACACAGGCAGTCATACACACACACAGGCAGACAGTCATACACACAAACACACACACACACATGCAGTCATACACACACAGGCATACAGTCATACACATGGTCAGACACACACATACAGGCAGTCATACACATACACATAGGCAGACAGTCACACACACAGACACACACAGGCAGTCATACACACAGACACACACACACACAGGCAGTCACACAGACACACACACACACACACACACACACACACACACAGGTAGTCATACACACACACATAGGCAGATAATCACACTCACAGACACACAGGCAGACAGTCACACTCACACTGACAATCACACAGTTAGCTGTGGAGTTAATTGTGGAGGAAGTGCAGCTCCTGGAGACTGTTTGTTGGGGAAGCAGGGACTCCTTCCTGCTTCCCCTGCAGCAGTTACACTGCACATTTAGCCCCGCTCCATGACGCCCTGTGCGGTCGCACACCTCGAACACCCCTAAGGC